TGATAAATAGCTTGATAGCCTTGCCAGGTGGCATGGCTGTGGCATGTAAGGTTGCTGTACAGGAGACCTGGATATTGGGAGCAAATTTGGGATCGTTGTTTCCGAAGGCTGGTGGAAGTGGAGCATGAAGAGGCTGATGTGATTGATCTCTTTAGTAGAAGGAGCCAGCTGGAGTGATTGCAAACCACTCCTCTTATTTCTCCTGAAAGTGGAATTGATGGCAGCTTCTGAAACACAACAACCCCTCAAACATTTTTCTAGCCATTGAGCTGTCTGGCTTCAAGCACTGTCACTCTGAAAGAGGATCAGTGACTTCTTTAAAGTGACAGGAAAGATCACAACAGTGAGGCAAGCACTGTATCCTTACTCTATCCAGCTGTTATTTCTAATGTAAAAAAAAAAAATCTGAAGTAAAAACTTGTGAGGTAATGATTAATTTTATTTTCCTGACAGCAAATCTCCCACTTTCATTCTCAAATAGGCAGTCAGTCATTTATTTCTCCTTGGGATTGAAAATTATATTTTACAACCTCTAGTTCAGTTTAGTTAAAAGTGTGACTTTAATTTTCAGGGGTATTTCTACCATTGGGTCTTTAATAACTTTTTTTGTCAAGAAGAATCTGAATGGATGTTATTATTTCCAACCAAGAGGACCTTGCATATGTTGAAATGCTCCTAGTTCTCTCCCCAGTCTATCATCTAAATCATTGCTCTGGAAAAATAATACATTTACCACTTCACCTTTTGCAGTTTGAAAGTATAATAGGGGGAAATAATTGGATATTATGCCTATAGAATTATGCTCATAGTCAAGTTCAAGATGGCGCCGCCCCAAACTGTTTAAGAATGGGCTTGACTGAACAAATCCCTGGCATTCTGCAAGTTTTTGGGCCACTGGGCAGGGCAGTCTTGGGGTAATAATAGAATGAGCTTTGCTTTAGCTTTGCTGTATCAAGCAGAACCTCATGGGATGACGTGGCTCTAGGAATTTCTTGGCACAAGTTGTAGAAGGAGTCTCATGCAGGTTTTAGTAAAGTCCCTAGGAATTAAAATAAACAGAAATTAGGCATAGGGACAGGCAAATGCATCAATTTTGCTCTCACCTGCAATTGAAAAATAAGATCCCATCTTCTTTCTGTTCCAGATGTGAAGGCATCTGCATATCTTGACAAATTCTTTTTTTAAAAAAGTAATTGAACTGAAATTTCTTTCCACTTGCACTGGCCAAATATGATAGAACACCTCAGTCCACCTGAAAGATCAGGAAGCAAAGATCTCCTCAGTCCCTGCTGTAGGTAGGCTGTTTCCCCCTGCAGAGTTATTACCATCAGCTGCCCTGTAGATTAATGTGGGCTATTACATTTTTAAATATTATTTGTTGTGTTTTTGCGAATGCATATTTTGTTAATTATAAACCACCTTGGAAAGATCTGCATCCTGGAAAGTAGGATTGAATATATAAATAATTCAGCATCCAGTTGAGCTATGATGGGCTGAGCTTCCATAAGCAACAAGGTGGTGTTTATTCTAAGCCAGTAGTTTTATCTTTGCAATCACCTTATAGAGTAAATTAGTTTCAGAATTAGTCACTAGTGGCTAGAATATGAAAATATGAAACTCTTTCTCTCTGGTATGGGAAAAACCCTTAGTTTGTCTCATCTTTGCAGACAAGTATGAGGAATTGGAATGTTCTTCTCATCAATAATGATGACAAGGAATTTTTGATGGGTTTTGTTGTGAGTTTGTGTTGACACAAATGATGGTTTATGTAAAAAAAGTCTGATCTTTGAGTTAAAGTGCCTGCATAAATGTGTGAATTGCATGCCTTGTGCAAATCACCCAAAATTTGCAGGCAGCAGCTGAAATCTGAAGTCAAAGCTCAACTGGCACCTGCAAATACTGTCTGAGAGTACTTTTCTTCCCCAAATTCTTTCTGTTCAGAGAAGGGGAGGAAGGAGTAGAAATAGGTTCCCAAATGAATCACCGAGTAGAGAAGTTCCACACAATGGGTGGACCTGATTATCACAGGGACCATGGCTATTTTATCTCTCCTATCATCTGGCCCATTGAGGGCTGTGGGGAGCATCTACGCTCTCTTGCTGTGGTTCCCGCATCCTGCCTTAAACACAAAGGAGGTTGTTGAGTAGGAATAGAATAGCTGCACCCTCTCCCTGTACTGCAGTTTATGAACCTTCTCCTGATTTTTTCCCCACCATAGTAAGCTGGAGAGAGAAAATGTGTGGTTCTCCACATGTTCTTAGAGTGCACCTCCCATACTTCCTTACCACTGCTAGCTTGGCCTGATAGGCATTACAGTCCAACAACATCAAGAGGACTACTCTTTGTCCAACTTTGGTCTAGAGAAGGGTTGGGCAGTTTCGACCCTCTAGATATTTTTGAGCAACAGTCCCCACAATCCTTCACCACTAGCTATACTGGCAAAGAGTCATATGACTTGTAGTGGGGAGGGTGGTTTGGAAGGCCAGAGTTGCCCATCTCTGCTCTAGTGAGTGTTCTTTGCTCCTACAACATTTCTCTGAAATGATAGATCACTGAGATTGAGGGACAATGACTCCATTATGTCTGCTGACCTTTGTAGCCAGATTTCATGGGTAAAATTCACCTGTTCTTTCTGGCAATTTATGTTGGTTGCTCCTAAGCCTTTCTTAGATATTTACAAAATGAGACCCTTGGTTCATTTTTCTAAACCACCTGCAAATGCCATACTGTTGTCAGGTAGTTGCCAAGCACCCACAGGCCTTGCATTGATGGTGTTACAAGATTTCTAGATGTTTTGAGTGCATGTTTAAATGTTAAAGGCAACAGATTTACTATGATGTGGAAGCCTTTTCTTTCTTTCTTTCTTTCTTTCTTTCTTTCTTTCTTTCTTTCTTTCTTTCTTTCTTTCTTTCTTTCTTTCTTTCTTTCTTTCTTTCTTTCTTTCACTCTCCCTCCCTTCCTCCCTCCCTCCCTCCCTCCCTCCCTTGTGGATTCCAGGATTTTTTTTAGTTACTACCTGGAATCCAGACTTAGATCCAGATCCAGTTACTACACAGAATCCAGAAAATGTTTTGAGCTACATGAACAAACTGGCATTAAACAAAGCGTATTTTGCAATAAATAAATTTCCTTTAGAAAAACAGAAAGAAACCTAAAGCTTTTTGCAACAAATTCTCACCTTAGTACATACTGGTTTTCAAAAAAAGCAAAAGAGAACAGAGTGGATGCTCAATATCCATTTACTGTATAGATAAAAGTGGGAGCTTAAGTCTATTGTGGTGCATTTAAATAATATTTTACATAAAAACTGTGAGGATTATTAAACTCTGAAATTGTAGTGGCCCCATATTTTAAAAGTGTTAATTTACCACACGCTGTTATTCTGGAATGTTATATTGTGGAGTTAGACATAGATTAAAGAGAAATGTCTCTGCTTTTAATTATGGGAAGATGGAATGAAATTAAGCCTGTTCAATCAGCATTAACTGCTAACAGCTTACCTATGTAGAATCACCTTTGTGTGTATTTCTTCACTTCAAAAAACTGCAGTTTATTTTGTCACATTTAGGCCTTGTATCTTGTTTAAAAGGGAGATTTCCCACAGCAAACTACAAACCAAATAAAATGAATTATTTGTCCTCAAATTTCCCATATGCAAGAGAAGGTTAGATATGAGTGCATTTTATATTTTATTTGAAGCCACTGATTCCTGGTCTATAACCCACAGTGATGGTGGTACTGAGTAGGAGATAGCAATTGCAATGCTTTGTGGTGCCCAGGTATAAAGTTTGTATGGGGTTACAGTGGAAAATGATGATGACAGCAGCATCAGACATTATTGTATACTAGCTCAGAGCAATAATCTATCAAGCTCATTGTTCTTTAGACCAGGGATGGGGAACACAGGGCCTGCTAGATGTTGTTCAACTGTAGCTCCCAGAGGTACAGTCAATGATGAAAGATGAGAGAAGTTGGAAGGATTCACCTGTTTATCCAACCAATATTTGAAGGCTTATGCATTTCCATGTCCTTTCTACACTAAGCCTTTCAGGATTTCAGGAACCTTTTGCATTCCTGTCTGAAGATATTAGGAACTTAACCTGGGGATTTCCACAGCATTAAAAAAAAAGATTTACAATACTTCAGCATTTCTCTTATGAAGAGGACAAAAGCAACACAAGTAGGCTGTTTACTGCTGTTTTCTTCCTGTGGCTTAGTTGCTACCTTATAATCAAGCTTTGGCAAACAGCCGATTGATCATCCTGCTCCTGTTACAGATTACTAACAGATTTTTGTCTACATGATTACTTGGGGCTGCTGTAACATGTGGTGGGTTTACTTTTAGGATGGGATGTGGAAGTGTCTCACATTCTTGGACACTTTTCCAATCAGTGGGTAGAGCCCACCCACTAATATCACTTCTGTGCCATGGCAGCTGACTTCTGTCATCCAGAATGTAGTAAATGAATTCCTGTAATGAATGAAGCATCTTAATTATATGATTAAGGAGGCAAACTGCTTCAGATTATGTGAGAATGTTCCATGCTGGTCTGATACACTGAATCTGCATGTAAACCTAACTGATCAGTCGCTTAGCCTAAATAGTGTGATTATAAACTATGAGTGTAGCATGTTGGTGTAAGTGAATTAGAGTAATGCTACATATTCTTTGTTGGAAAACGCCTTAACTCCTAGGAAAGGAAGATTTGCCTGTATTTCAGAAAGTAATCCCAACTCAGGCTGATTACTGTCTATCAATATTAGCAATGAAGGAAGGGAGAAGCTGTGGCAAGGAATTGTAAGAGTCAGGATTCTATTTTTAAATGTACATTTCCATATGCACGCATAGTGCTAAGTACCTGAAGAGGATGATACCTTGGGGTGGAGGGGGAAGTTCAAAAGCTATGATAAACCAGCTGCTCCTTCAAGGTCATGTTCTTATTTCAGTAACTGATCTTTTGGTGTCATGTGTCTTTTCTTTTTTAAATCTCAAAAAAAAGGTCTTATTCGATTACAAGAGCTTATTAAGGCTCCATCGCGGTACAACCTGCGTCTAAAAATCCGGCAGTTACCAGCTGACACAAAAGATGCAAAGCCCTTGCTCAAGGAGATGAAAAGAGGCAAGGAATTCCATGTCATCTTTGATTGCAGTCACGAGATGGCAGCAGGCATTTTAAAACAGGTAATCTCATCCCCTTTCCCCAGATGTCTCTTGCCCATCTGTATTACTAAGATAACAGTACTGATCTTACAGCAGAGAAGCTAAATCCAACTGTTAGTTCCAACTAGAATGGAACCTTTTAACAAATGAGTCTTGTTAAATAAGTACTCACTTGTTCAGCTGCACTGTAAAGTGTGGATATGAACGATGATTAAAGCAAACCCATGGAAAATAAGGAGAATTCATTCCTGAACTGGTTCTGAGTTTTGAATACATGATAAACGGGGAAGTGAATAATATATGGTCAGAAATATTTTGAAAAGGGGGATTGTTCAGTTTAAACTGGACTGTGTCTTCACTTCCTGCCAAGAACACTTTTGCATTTATTATTGTTCTTCTCATTATTACGTTCTTTTCTGTTTCAAATTTAGTCACTTTGCATTCCATTGTTTCATCAGCTCAAAGGGGTTCAGTGTCAACCCTGGTCTGCAGGGTGTTTAATAGTCACAGTGCAACAGCAAGGCTGTTTTGAAAGGATTTGCCTATTTATTTTGTTTACTACATTTGTAAGCCAACATAAGTGGTGTAGAGCGATGGATAGAGCGATGGATTAGGACTCAGGAGGTCTGGGTTCAAATCCCTGGTCACCAATTAAAATTCACTGGGGGTGTGAAATTGGAAAAAAAAACTACTTAAATATTTCATTTACCTTAGAAGCCTTATTAGGATCATTATACAGTGGGGTCTCTACTTAAGAACGTCCCTACTTAAGAACAATCCAACTGAAGAACAGCTCGATTTGCTAAATTTTGCTTCTGCTTGAGAACAGAAATCCAAGATAAGAACAGGAAAAAAAACCTTTCCTGCTCTTTTTTTAACCTTAGGTCATCTTAGGTTAAAAAATAATTCTCCCCCTAGTAGTAGAGTACGTGTTAACCAGCTTTGCATTAGTTCCTATGGGAACTAATGCTTCAATGTACGAATGCACCTCTACATAACAAAAAACAGCCAGAACAGATTAATTGGTTTTCAGTCCATTCCTATGAGAAATTTTGCTTCAACTTAAGAACGTTTCAACTTAAGAACACCATTCCAAAACGGATTAAGTTCTTAAGTAGAGGTTCCACTGTAAGTTGTTCTGACTTGATGGCATATAACAACAGCAAGCCAACATATAATTCCCCAGCTAGTTTATAATATATGAAATTAAAAACAGGGTAAATACAAAATAAGGCAATAAAAATAACATAAAATACTCCAGGCTGGTAAATCACAGCTGGCATATCAGTCAGAGCTGAAGAGTCTTTGAGCAACAGAGATTGTTTGACTTTCTAATTGTAGTATTGAATAAACAAACAAACAAACTGTGAAACTGATCCCTTATGGCACAGATGGGTGATTTCTACATGTTTATAAATATAAACACCTAGTTTACCTTAATCTGATCCATTATCATGCTCAAATACTGTATGTTTAAGACATCTACTGCCTGACTGGAGTCTAATGATAATCTGAAAATTTATGGCATCTCAGACTAAGATGCCTGTCTTAGATGTTAAAATGGGATACAAGAAAAAAGTAAAGCCCAGCATAATCCTGACTCCTGAGCATAATTACCAAGTAATGATTGCATAGTATCAGTTCCTCCAATTGGCATTCAAGCAGGAGGGAACCTACTTGTTAGCTTCTCCAAAAGAATACCATGGTTAAGGGTATCAAAATCTGTTGTGAGTGGTTCTGAAGAATTGACAACCATATTCCATTAGCTTTTCTGTTGTTGATAATTATGTCACAGGATAGTCAAAGCAGTTTATGCCCCAAAATGGGCTTTGAAAAGAAACAATAAAATCAGTTTTATCCAAGAGTGACTGGAAATGCCTCCTCACCATTCTTTCAGTTACCTTTCCTAGGAAGGAAGTGTTAGCAACTGACTAACACTAAACTTCCTCAGGAGTAGTTTAAAGAAGGTGGCTTTCATGTTTTGATGACAGTATTTCTTACCCAGAAGTATATCAAATAAAGTTTACTTCTTGCTCCTTAAATGCTGCTTCTAGAAGATCATATTGGGGGATATTCTTCCATTCTTGGGTTTTCACTGTATTTTTCTAAAATAAAGGTAACTGAACATGAATATGTCCACATTTCCTTAGTCATGTGTCACTCTTTAAAGATTAACATCAAGAAACCTCTCAAGTAATAATAACTGCAGTTAACTGTTCTTAAAAATACTGTTGCAAGCTGTTTTACAAAAGGTTATTACAGAAAAAGCTTTATTAAATATATGTTAGATCCAGTTCCTGGACTCCTGCAGTTTTCAAAATTTTGTATCGACTCAAGTTGGGCTATACTATGCTCTTGGAGGACTAAACCCTGAGGTTTTCACTAGAGCATGGATGGGCAAAGGGTACAACAGGATCCATGAGCAGATCTCTGAGTGATTTGTAAGACATTTGTATGAATTTCTAGCTCCCAGCTGTTTAAAGCAGCAGTATCAGAAAGCCCTTTCCCTATGTCCTCTACTGAATGAGGCAGCTAGTTAAAGAAGCTGGGAAGAGGACTATGTAAAAGGATTATGAGTTTGGTTCTCATACTGAAATAAAAATTCTTGGGCTGCACCATTTCGTAAGACAATGAGAGTTTTGGTACATTCTATATGTTATCTTGCTGCTTATTAAAAGACAATGGCAGATAGCTCGTGATCTAAGCGGAGGATAGTGCTCCTTAGGCCTTTCAAATGTATGTTATGTTACATTATGATAACTCACTAGCATAACAGCTGAGGTTGGGCATGCTTCAGTGCTGATGTTCACTTCTTGCAAAGAAGTACATTAATATGATCACAGCTATTCATTATCATATTTATTATAGATATCTTCTGTTACAGCACAAAGAAGGAAGTTATCCTTGGTTAATGAACAACAGTATACTTTTGTTCAATAAAATTAATTATAAGCTTTGAAGAAATTTCCAGTCACGGGAAAACAGTTGGGCTTCTTCGTTCATGCCACATGAATGAAAGGGGTCCTTCTGTTAAGGCCCAATTCCTCACACTTTGCAGCAGAACCTGAAACTGCTGACTTCCTTTGATTATTTGTACATGTTGAAATATTAGAGTTCGCAAAGTTTACTAGCCTGGTCTTGGCAAAAAACAAAAATGAGAGAGAGAGAGAGCATGAGCAAGGGAAACAAGCCAACCCCCAAACACTTTCCATCTTTTGTCTAAGTGCACAATAAGTTAGTCCATCAGCCACATTGAATTATTTATAATGTGCCCATAGTTTGTAGGCAAATGGCAAATGTAGCTTTTAATAATACCCTGTCAGCAAAAGGAGCCACGTTATACGAGGGTCAGAGAAAAGTGGAGACTTTGCTTTATAACCCCTTGTTCACATACTTAGTAAAAGGCTTGTTGTTGCTGAATTACCTCTTTCCTGTTTTGGTAACAAGGTAGGGTTCTCCATAATGCTCCAGATGGACAAAACAGATGCTCAAGCTATTTTTAGGTGTGTGTGTGTGTGTTTTTAAAGGGTTAGAAACTGATCTTCAAAGCAAAGCTATAAAACTCTTTCTGAAGAGTGCCCTTTTGCATCTGAATTATTATTTTACAATTCCTTCCCATCCATGCTAATACTTAACATGCAGAAACTAGCTAATTTCAGGGTATTGCACCCAGGCCTTTAAACAAAGTGAAACATCTTCAGTTAGCAATTATCTGGTCTATCTTTTTTGGATTTGTTCACTGGGAGGACACAGGTAGCTCATGGACTCAGCTCTTGGGCTACTCAGGAGGGCATAGCTTCTGCCCTGTTACAGAGTAAGATACCCCACTGCTTGGTCCATGAAAGACATTAGAGAGAGAAGAGTCACACTTTCTGCCCACGCAGAGGCAAAGAACAATTTCTGGAACCTCCACAGAAGGCTTACCAGGGCTTTTTGTGAACCCCTATTCTGTTTTCTTACACCCCTGTTTTTTGTTTTGTTTTGTTTTTAATGTGGAAACTTTTGCTTGCATTTTCAAGTGGCCAAATATTTTATTTTTTTCATTATTTTTTAAATTGAAGGATGTGGGAGCCTGAAAGGTGCTGGTCCACGCCCAAGCTTGGCAAAGGTATGCCGTGCCCTCTACAGAGTGCCAGGAAAGTTTTTTTGAGTGTGTTTGTGGGAGTTTGGGGGCACTCATTTGGGTCCCTGGGGGTTGCCCATACCTGCCTTGATAGTGAAAAACAAAATGCACAGCCAATACAGATGCACTGTGTAGAAAGTTGAAAAAACAAGATTGAACAGGTCGGTTGGATAGAACTCCTTGACTTATATGATCCATTCATCTTACTGGATATCTCAGTGAGTCAGAGGTTTGTGAGCTCTGATTCACACTGTATATCCCAGGACAAGAGCCAGCCTGTGTGCCTTGGGCAAGCTGCACAGTCCCAGAGTGCCTTTGGAAAAAGGAAAGAATAAACCACTTCTGAATAGTTGTTGTGGCTTTTTTGGGCTGTTTGGCCGTGTTCTGGAAAGAGCCCAAAAAACCCACAACAACCATCGGATCCCGGCCCTGAAAGCCTTCGAGAACACACTACTGAATACTGTGTACCTAGAAAATCCCGAAAAGGCTTACCATAAATCAGAATTTACTTGCTAGAATGTAATTAGTTACTATTATTACGATCCATTTACTCTAAGAAATGTGGTCTCAGTTCTCAGACTTGAGTGCTCTTTATGGGGTTTTGCCATGAAGGTTGAAGAGTTCAAAGATTACTGCTGGCACTTAAAAAGAAAGCCTTTTAGATTACATAACATTATTTGCTTGGAGTAACACTGCTCTCTTCTCCTTTGATACAGTTCTCTACTGAAGATATATAATAAAACACAATCAGTGGAACCATCCTCCATTCATATTTTAAGTTAGCAAAGAAAATGCTCCCATTAATATGTAAAACTTTAAGCTCCTTTCACATCTGCAGCTCTAAACAGTCTACTAATAGTATTTCTATCAGCAGATTTGGTTCATAAAATTCTTTAATAGTGAGTAATCTGCTCTAACTGCTAAGCAATGATTTGCTTGACCTAATTTTAGGATGATTCCAGTTCTATAGTTTCATCTCAGCCTTACTCTTCTGGATGCTTTTCATTATCTATATTAGTGTGATTAAACATACTGTTATGGGCAACTTTAGAAATATGAAAAGCAATGTTTTATAACTTATAACATGATAATATTGTATATATGATTATTTTTTCTTTTAGGCTTTAGCAATGGGCATGATGACAGAATACTATCATTACATCTTTACAACATTGGTAAGTAGCTTATAAGAGTGTGCTAGCAGCCTCAGACAAAGGCCTTTGCTTTTTTAATTATATTACTTTACAAAGTGAAAATGGTCTCTCAGGAACAGGAGGGGGGAAAAGTACTAAATGTTTTTTTCCTTTTGATTATGATACATTACAGTGAAAGCTCCTGAGGATGGTTTAATTAATGCACCGAAATATTATTATAGAAGGTTGGCAGAACTTGGGTGGGTGGGTGGAGAATGGATTTTAATGGCTGTGCAGTTTTTTTGTTTTGTTTTGTTCTTGTTCTTGGGTGTTTGTTTCCCAATTTTTTTCTTTTTGGGGGGAAGGACAACAGAGTGTGATGAAGAAGAGCCCCCTCCCATTCTTTTTGATGGGTTGTTTCTGTTCTGCTGTTCCTGTTCCAAAAGGAAATTACCTATAAAGAATTTAAAACATAGGACACTTTTAAGGCCCAATGCACTGTTTCAAGTCTATTGCAATTTAGTTGTTCCAAGCCTATGCTTCTGAACTATATATATATAAAAATTACATTTGTGCCCCACCTTTTCGTTCAGTGAGCTCAAGTCTGCCTACATAGCTTATATTCTGCCTATGTTGTCTGCACAATGGCACTGTGAAATAGGCCAGGCTGAGAGGATGTGGCTAGTTCATGGTTATTCAATGACCTTCATGACTGAGAAGGAACTTGAATATAGGTATCTAGACTCCCAGTCCAACACCCAGCGTCAGGCCATACAGGCTCTTGATAGATGATCTCTACCTAATTGTAATTTAGCTGCCTAAATTAAAATGAGTGGAAGAAAAGCAGGATTGTGAGAAAGCTTTTGGTGAAACCTTTTGGGTGAGCTCTTTTCATCAAAACCGCCAAGACTCAAATACATGTAGTTAGACTTGGAGCTTGCAGAAAGACAGGAAACTGGAGCAGATAATTAATTGGCATGTACTGCTGCAATTGTACGGTACAGTCTTTAAATATGTTGTAGTGGTTCCTAGTTACGTTCCAGCTGGCGTCCAAGGTGACTGATGACTGTCGTCCTGAAAACTCTAAGCACGGCATGACATGAGAATATCTGAAGGATTATTTTCTCTTACATTTTCCCTATGCTTACCTGAGAAGGCCCTACATGATGCCACTGGTGTACCTTGTTGTTGTTGGTGGTCTGTCACAATAAAATGTGGCTGATTCCCTCTTGATTTTCACAGAACTATGAAATATAGTGGTATAATTCAGGATTATGCAAGTTAGTGTAATGCTTCAGAGTTCTTAAACATGGCTGCAAAAATGAGGAGTAGCCCAAAAGCAGATTTATTTTTATCTAGACTTCTTTTCTTTTTAAAACAGCTCATTGAGTGTCCAGAGCTATATCCCTTAATGGCGTAGCAGTTGACATCAAAGACGTATTAGTGAATTACAAATCATTATAGTTAGTAAGGTATTGTATTTTAGAAATGAAATCTGAGAAATAAACTGAGAGCACAATACCAGATTATAAAAAGAAAATAGAATAGTTTAAATTGAAATTTTTGGGCTAAAATAAATTGCTAATCCCAACTAATGTAGCTGGAAATTTTGCCAGAGTCATGAATGCAGCTTTTCAGGGACTGGTACATAGAGAACTATTATAACAATAGTCACAAAATAAATAAATAAAATAAAAGGTAACAACTATTATGACAAGAACACATCAAGGAAAAGCAAGATATTCCTTTCATAAGATCAAAGAATTCACATTTAAATCTAACTTGGAGATGCTGAAAGATTGGTAGTGGAATATATTATGTGATCAGTATGAAATCAATAGAAAATGCAAACAATATACTGAAGTCTACAGGGAAAAAAAGCAAGGATGGCAAGTTCCTTCAAAGAAAACGTATTTGATGAAAAACTTGCAGTTTTAGAAAGTGGAGTGAAAGCTGTTTTCAAATCATTTGGAAAAAAATATATATCCAGGAATCTATAGAATACCAATAGAATTATTTCACACTCAAGATACAGAATGTATCAAAATCTTAACAATAATATGCCAAAAATATAAAATAAAACAATGGCTCACAGTCTGAAAATATTCAATTTTTATTCCAATTCCAATAGAAAAAAAGATAGTGGTAGGTCCATTGCATTTATTTTCTTTGCAAACAAAGTGATGCTCAAAGTTTTCAAGAGAGAGTTTTACTACATATGGAGAGATAAATTCTGTATGTTCAAGCTGGAATCACAAAAAGAAGCAGCACAAGAGATTACATTGCAAATATACATTGACTACTGTAACCTGTCAAAGAATTTCAGAAAAAAATAGTCTGTGCTTTATAGATTACAGTGAAGCTTTTGACTATGTGAGCCACGAAAATCCTTAAGTGCAAGGATGTGTCCCTTGAACAAACAACAAGATCATATGTACGGTATTCCTGGTTACTGTCACCGGATGTGAAAACTGGACATAAGATTAATCGGATTTATCAAAGTGTTGATTGGTAGACATGGGCTATTCGTATTTGTATCCCTGGGGATACAAATACAAATCATGGCACCACAGGTGACATGGAAGCCCATTCCGTCCCCACAGAAATAGCCGGTCCTCTCACCAGTTGCTCATCAGCTGAGCGGGGAGACTCCTCATCCTGTCTCCTCACCAGAGAGGTCAGCTGCATGGGGAGGCAGAGAAGCACTGGCTGAGCTCATTCCTGGATTAGTGCAATGATGACCATGAAGGACCTGAGTACCATGTGGTGACCAGTGAGTCAACCAATCAGTTCAGGGGGGGATGGGCCTCTGTGGCACCTGTGGTGTTGCAATTCGTACTCATATCCTCAGGGATATGAATACGAATAGCCTATATCTATTGGTGGGACATGCCTAATTCATTCAGTGGATCTATTGTAACTGGGATTAACCACTGGATTTAGCCTAGACTTCTGCTTGGAATGTCAGGAAGTAACCAACCATTTAAAGAAATAGGAAGTGACCTTAGCTTGATCCTTTCTTCCTCTTTCCATAATACAGTGCAGATGATACTGTAGATGTGATCATCCTGTTTGTTTTTCTGCCTACTTTCGAAAGACAAGAATGCATTTGAGCACTAAGCATATATATGACAGATCATGGAGTGTTGGCATGACAAGCACATGCATTAAGCTATCTTGAATATCTGTACTGTTCTGATGGAAGGAACAAAAGTCAGTTGCTAACAATAGAGACTTTCCGAAGCACCGATGACTTCCTGGGAAGAGCAAGATGACTGGAAAAGGATAGGTATATACCTTTGCTTGCCAACCATATACATGCATTCCCTCAGGATACTGTTACTAGCCTTTATAGTTTTGATCAGGGAGGGAACCCTGTCAGAGTAGACCAAATTGCAAAGCAAGCTGCTTTAATGTGCTGCTATTGTATTTGTCAGGGACTGGCTGCACAATACATTGGCAAGTGCTACTTCAGGATGTTGCTAGCCACAGCAGAAAGAATGATCTAACAGTGTACAGTGAAGATCTGTGGCTGAGGGTATGCTTGCAGGGGAAAGGGCAGGGAAACCAAAAGTAAATTTCCCTGAGTTCTTTGGCAGGAAGAGGATGAGAAGAGAGTAATAAATAAGCTATTGAAACAGAAACATAAATAAGATATAAAAATTGTTCATTTAGCAGTCAGGTCTCTGGCTGTCTAATTAAATATCCCCATTTGCTTATTAGAAATGGGGGGAGGTTGTTGGGAGGCAGTATCTTTTTCTGAAGAACAGAAGATAAAATTTCAGCTGCTGACAGTTAAGGATAATTTCAGATATGACAGTGGATGATAGATTTTTATGCTCAGTAGAGCCATGTAACTTGTATCATTTTTGGCTCCTCTGCTTTTATTAATTACTTCTTACCTGACACAGCGAAAGTCTTGTCCAATAAATTTTCTGGTCACAGTGTTTAGCTGTGCTGTTTGGAAGTGTACTTTTCCATGATTGATTCGAAGTTTAATGTAATACCTCATTAATTCTCCCTGAACTGTTGCGCATATTTATTATAGTTTTAAGTAAACAGGAATGTGTTTAAATTACATAATTACTTATACGATTGTCCAAGATGCCTGGGAGGGATCCCAAATTTACAGGTAAAAGGTCTTTGAGACATTCTTCCAAGTAGTTTTTGTGCCGGGCCAAATCGTTCAACAGGCTCAGAGGATGGGAATGTTTGTCATCTGCTGAAGTGTTTTATGTGGTTCATTTGCCTATTGCATAGCTGTCTTAGATTTCAGTCTGGAAAAAAGGTGATACCTATAGAGAGAGATATAGTGATGTCATATATATGGAATGCCAGATAAAGATGATATAATTCTCATCTGTTCCTCATTTTAGTCTTTGCTGGTCTGTCTCCCCTCATCCCAAAACTGAACAGTGCCTTAGCACAAATGTGCGGGGGGAATTTGGTAATTTTTTCAAGGCCTTATGTCTACTGGATCATAAAGCTGAAGGAGCATCTGGGAACCCTAGCCAGTCTGCTTGTTAACAGGGTAGCAATGTGGATTGGCTGAGTGGTGTATGTAGTCAGCCTATCGTGGAGCCTGAAGGAAGAGGGGACTAGGGTGCTGGAGTAACGAAAGAGAGAGGAGCCCACAGGTTTTGGGGAAATAAAAGTAAAATAAAATATGAACATTTTTTTATGGAAAGGAGAATTACAGAATTGAGCAAATGTTAAAGCTAGGGAGGAAAATAAGGAACTGGTGGATATGAATTATCTTAATTGGTTGTTGTAGCTAAGGAAAAGCTCAAGCTCAAATTTGTTTTCAGCCTAATGTTCCTATTTAATTAAAAGTTATCAATTTCACTCTTTAGCCACCGGGTCTGGAGTGGTTAACGGCTGGTGCCAGAAACATTACTGAAAAGATGTTTTAAAAGGTGACAGGCCTGGGTTGGGGCTGGTCACAATGACTTTATGAAAAAATGCACCATTGTGCATTTATAGTGTAAACACTAATTGGAATTTCAAGGGTCGATTCTCTTTGTGTGTCTAGCTTGGATTTTTGTACTAGTAATGAACAATTTATCATACATTGCTGTCTTGGAAAGATGGCAGCTACAGTTCTCCCTCACACCTCTCTCACTCTTGCACCCCTTCCATGGGGGGGGGGATGCATTCAGGCCAATTACAGCCCAAGCATAATAACAACCTTAAAGGCGGTCTGTGTTCCACCAACTGTTTAGGGAAAGGCTGCACAGTCTTCACACACCCAAGGCCTCAACTGTGGAGTGACACTCTGCCACTGCTGCAGAATCCCTCCCCAGTCTCCCTACTGATCTTAACCAATGACAATGGGTCTCTCTTCATCTGGCTGGAGAGCTCAATGGATTGGAGTGCCTGGCTAAAGAGTCAGGGATTGGGAGCTTCCTTCCCTGCTATACACCTCAGGAAGACTGAGCCAGCCTGTGCAGCTTTGGGCAAGCGGAGTGGTCCTGGAGTGCCACCAATAGGAAGGACTGATAATTGAATATTTTATACCTAGAAAGCCCTGCAAAGGGTTGCCATAAGTTGGAAAAGTTGACAATATATAATTACTGGCAGAGGGAGGAAATGATCTTATTAACATCTCTGAAACATGAATGCATGGGTGCTTGCATAGGGGATAGTGCACATGTACATTTATTTATGAAAATGTGACCTGAGCCACAAGCCATGGCTTAGGAGGGAAGAACGATTATAAACTTTGGTATCATATCCCTTGAATTTTATTGAAATGTGATGCAGTTTTATAAACCTAGAATCTTTCATTTTTGTGCTAAGTTCTCTTGCACAAGAATTCAGGTCTCCTTTGGAGAGACAGAGAGATACCGCCCCATTTTGTGAGCCTGTGCGTTTGAACAGCACAGCCATTGAATTCCAACAACTTAGCCCTTCTCCAGGTTCCACCCCCTGCTTCAGAAGCAATATGCCACCCAACCAATCAGAAACCACTGAGGTTGTCAGGTGTGGCAGCCTATTTAGGGTCTTCTGATGTTGTTGTTTCCTCTGGATTTTTTAAAAAAGGAGGAACCTGTTCCAATATTTCACACACCACAACTCCTATGTGGTAGTTTGTTTATTTTGTTTATTTATTCATTACGCTGATTTCCCCTATTTGTTCTAATAAGATCAAGACAGTAGCTTTGGCTCTCCTCCTGGTCCATACATTATCATCACAAGATCCCTGTAAGCTAGGTTAGGATAAGATAGAATGACTGGCCACTTTCATGAGTCACTCACGGCTAGAAACTATATCTCCTCAGGCCCATTCCAACATTCCTACCACTGTTACACACTGGCTTTGATTCAATTCAGTGGGTCATGTAGTTTGAAGGTTATCATGCTAGTATAATAAGAATAATCATAAAAAGTGTGCCAGGCTTTTATATTTTCATCCTAGCACTGCCACAAAATACTCTCTGGTAATCAACTGGTGAGTATCTCTGGTCTCATTATCTCAGATTACCTCCTTATCTCTGTTCTCATGCAAGTTCTACTGCAGTAATTGGATAATTGTGTTAACCACTTGTATTATCCGCAACCACTATTCTGCTAACCAGATGGAATTACAGCTCTTCATTCTGATCCTGTTACTTTCTATTATGTCTGCCGGAAGTTGTGTTGAAATCTTTACATAGCTATTCTGCATCAGTGCTGCATCCACGCTGAACAAACTGTGTGTTCTTTTGTAAATTGGAATGATGCAGGAAAAGGGCTGCAATGGAGTTGGGCAGCTGTGCTTGAGAATGTGAACAAACTGTGTGTTCTTTTGTAAATTGATGCAGGAAAAGGGCTGCAAAGGAGTTGGGCAGCTGTGCTTGAGAATATGCAGCTGGATACGGGATTTTGTGACTTCTCTTTGCTTGCTTTTTTACATATCTGATATAGCATTGACAATGATTGATTAAAGTAGAAAACTATAACATTTTTGCAATGCAGGTTTATGGAGTGTCAGGAAACAGCAAATGGCAGAGTTCAGCGAAGTTGCTTGACATTCCCCTAAATATGCTGTGTTAACGGCCATGTCATTTTCTTATGACTCTCAGTGCAGGTGTAGGTAAACAGAAGCAGCATTAATTAGCTAGGCACATTAGCAGCACTACTCTAGTGCAGCATAATTAACAAATACAGTGCACAACAGTTTTACGGATTCTGCATTGTCTTTTAGCCTTGATGCTTACATTTTGAGAAGAGTGGAAATGGAGAGAAAATGGAGATTCAGATTCTTTGAAAGCCTCTACAAATGCTTCTCTTTTCCTCTGCCTTCAGGACCTCTTTGCTCTTGATGTGGAGCCGTATCGGTACAGTGGGGTCAATATGACTGGATTCAGGATTTTGAATACAGAAAATAGCCAGGTCTCATCCATCATTGAAAAATGGTCTATGGAGCGATTACAGGCACCTCCGAAACCCGATTCAGGTTTGCTGGATGGATTCATGACGGTATGAGCACAAATTTACAGCTTAGTTTGTGTGAATCTATCAGTACTTTAGCATTTCATCCCATTCTTTATCCACATAGCTGGCAAGATCCTTCTCGATATTCTATTTTGGTTTTCTCACTAATTCAGATTCTTGTCCTCCATGGCTAATGTTTAGAACATGAATATCATTCCTTTTTTTAACATCTGAGAAGTGAAGATTACCTGACCATGTTAATGATCTAAGAAAATACGTACTGGAATGTTTTCAGTTTTTGTTTTCAGTTTGCTAATGAATCAGGGAAAGAATCAAACTTTTGGTCACTAGGCAAGATGTTGGTTTCAAATGCCTGAAGGAGTCAATATAGACACATAATCTAACTACTCCACTTCACTATATGCAGCAGCCACATACACAGTTTGTTAGGACCTATTTTTATGAGAGTAAAGCTTTGAACAGGGAGAACAGGGATCTGGTCAGTCTGGATGATCAGTCAGTCATCAGAGGGATGAGGTAAGTTCTGAAGGTGTCAAAATCTTTTTGGATAGCAAGGGTAAAAATAAATATGGGAACACTGTTTTCTTTTCTTTTTAATCTACATTTTCTAGAATATCCGAGTCATCATAGTCAGGGTCCATGTTGGCTGGGGTATTCTTGGAGTTGTAGTCAAAGAAAGTAAAAAAAGTAATTAACTCATACAATATATTGTGGAAATACTCAGCTGAATTGTACAACACAGTGCCTCACAACATAGCATATCATGCAACCTATTGTAGAAACACATTGTGCATATTCCAGTGCAGCACTGGAAAGTATGGACAGTTCTATCATGTGGTTGTGGCATTTGATCTCTGTGATCTACTGTTAAGTTGATCAATTTTATCTGTAGGATAATTGGCAGTGGTGGGTGACATTCGCTATGTATGTGGCCGAAAACCAATATATGTTAAACATTTCCATGTATATGTATTACACAGAGAATCATTCATTATTTTGACATTCATCAAATTAATTCAAATCAACACGCAAGGTCAAGACACACTCCAACCTCTTGGTTGCCACTTTCCCTACATGGAGAATGACAGTCCGACGAAGGTAGTGAGGCCATTTTGTGAAATCAGGAACTTTGGTTTTTCAGTGTTTTCTGTTATGCAGAGAATCTCCTTGCGCATTGGAGACTCACTTGAAATTGACATGCTCCATCTGGAAAGGGAGATGGTGGAAGGTTCAAGTCATAATCATTCACCTCCTCATATACTGAGTCTAACCTTTTTCATGGAGGTGTTCACTTGCTATTGGCACATCCATATGACATGTGTCCAATCAGGAATAGAATATATAGCAAGTAAAGAGGAGCAATCTGAACTCTGTGATGCTTAATGGGGACTGGATTTTGTTTTATGTCTAAGCCAGCACATAGGTTTTTGAAGGAAAGCATCTGCAATTTGACATTTCAGTTTCTGTTTTAACTTTGCAAAAAGAGCAGGGGAAGAATCAAACTTTAATTCCTGGATAAAAGAGTTTTTGCCAACACTGGGAACATCCCAATTTGTTTAATACATTGGGTTTATACACCTCGTGTTCTCTTTTTCTTATGATATTGTAAGGCAATAGAAAACTCAGTGCACCTCCTTGTGTCTGGAAGAAAGACTCATTATTGGTAGTGGTAACACAGTCATTTGTCACTATATAAGATCCCAGAGCTTATGCATTTTCCCCGGCTTTGTCTCTGAGCTGTAGAAGGAAATAAAGAAAAAGGGAATTGGATTCATTTATGAAGTCTCATGGCTCAGTTAACCCCTTTAATTGGTTCCTAGGAGCTATCATCTGAGTCCATCTATTCCGTTTCACAGTAATGAATGTTTTGCGTTTTCTGCACAAGTAGGGTGCTAGTGGTGTAAAGGAAGCATTTCCAAGGATACTGTATTAGATCTTTCTTTTAGCTAAAAAAAAGAGAGCTTATCTTCACATCTGCTGACAACAGCTCATGGTGCTTTTGCTCTGCCATAAAAATGGGCTGTTCTTTTAGTAGCTGTATTGCTGTAGTTTATTGTCACTCCTATAGCATTGCCAGGAGCATGTTCAGGTGAAATAGTACCATGTTCTTTCTGAGTTTTCAAACAAAATGGGTTTTAGTACCTGGAGTTGGCAGAAGAGGTATGGAGAATGCACACCTCCATGTGGACTGTACCCAACTTAGCTGTCTTGTGAAACCACTACATAGGGTTGATGTACTTGCTTAAAGGTCACCATCCTCATAGTGGTGGAATACATGAAATCAAACACTCTGATGCAGTTATTCTGGACATCAAGGATGATCTTGTCAGATGAGGATTAGAGATGGGCACAAACTGAACCATAAACCAGAAAAAAACATAACTGGGCTGTTTCAAGACAAGATAGGAAGACGATGGGGGCAGAGGGAAGGGAAGAGGTGGGTGGGCAGTTCCCCTCAGCATGTGCCTGGAAAAGAAATTGTGAACTGGTTCATTTTTCAGAGGGAGTTGTGAGAGTTTGTGGTTCATGGATAACCATGACCCGTCATGAACCACTGGCTCTCTGATTTGTACCCAAATCTAATGAAGATTAAACAGGGATTCTTCTGACAGATAGCTGTGACAAAGACGTGTGGCAGGCAAGAGATTTTGGCAAAAGGCAGCTGCTGAGAATGAAGACTTGACAAGAATTCTACCAGTGGCTTGCACCTAGGATTTTAAAGCTAATTTGCTACTGACAAATTGCTTAAATGCTCTCCACATTTATGATTCCCTAGTCCACTGCAACAGTGTACAAACACTTATTCAATCTACCTCACAGCATGTCTGAGAGATTAATTAGCCGCTATTTTTATGATACTTAAAAAGTCTAAAGCACTGCATCATGATTAATAAGAAAGTTGGAGAAACTGTCACACATCCAACTGCCGTCTAGCTATATAGCTTTAAGATAAAATAATTTCTGGGGAAGGGCTGCAGCTCAGTGATAGATCACCTACTATTCATACAAGTTTGATCTCTGCCATATCTAGGTGGGGCTTAAAAAAACAACTCTTCCCTGAGCTAGTGGAAAGCTCAGTGTCAACAATACAAGGCTAGATGGGTTGAGGTCTCACCTGGTAGAAGTCAGGTTCCTAATTCATAAATCAAAATGGGAAAACTGACTACCTGCTCATTAGAAGTGTTTTACTCAGGACTAAAAGGGTCTGGCACAACGTAAGGGAGAATTCAGAAACAATAATTGCCAGTTTTGATTTCCAGACCTCAGATATGAAGTCAAATCTTCATCTCTCTTAATCAAAGATGGGTTCTAAAGAGGTTGAATTAGCTCACCTATGTTGGAAATATTAATTCCATCCAGTTTCTTCCATGGGGTTCAAGGAATCGCTTTTAGGCATGGTCATTCGAGATTTCATGATATGTATTGTGAGAGAAATTGCTCAGTCCAGTCTTTTTCTGTCTAACGTGTACTAGAATTACAGTAACACCCTGGATACTATTTATATACAATCAGTTTAGCACTTCAGAACATATTTTTAAAATATAAATTATTATTAGACCATGCTTCTCTTTAACTGGAACATGTTAAATCAAGAAAGTTGTTTTAATTCCATGTCTCGTAGGAAACTGGTTTAGTTTAATGATACCAATGCCTACTATTTGGAATAATACTAACATAAAAATCTGCCTAATCTGTGCACATTTGGATAGTTCCACTTAGTTAAATGTCACTTAGCCAGATGTTAATGGGATTGCATTTTTGTGGACACATGGAAAAATATCACATCAAAAATAAGGCTTTTTCTATACAAATAGTCAGATAGGCTTATGAGGGAAACAATGCCTTTTAATGGGAGAGGGTCAATTTTCATTAAATGTTTGACCACCGTGAACATTATAGTGCTTCGAAAATGTTAAGCAATAAGCTTTAACACCTGGCTGAAGCAGAGGTCATAATCTTTGCTTTTGCCTCTGCTCTTGACTGAAATCCTCTCCCTTCTTCTTGGTTGTCCATGTTTTCCAATTTGAACAAGTGGTGCAAAATTGAAATTATGGCTGCTGAGGGACACCATGGCCTTGAACAAAAAGTCTTTTTGTGCTGTGGTGGTCCAGACAACAATACTTCTGCTTTGCTCTGAATAGATGATTGGTGCTAGTTAGTGTTGTTTACCTGCTGAACAAACTTAGACCACTCCACACATAGGGATGTAAATCCTGACCTTGTTTGTTGTGTTGTGTTAAATGAGATATGCAGAAACATTTCTGATCTTACCACTACATTTTTAATCAGTGTCATAAAGAATGGGCATATCAGTTTTTTGTGCATTTTCATAAATGCAAAATTTAAAATATTGGCCAAAATCCTGTTGTTTAGCATAGTAAATCTCACTAGAGTAGGCCTATTAAATCAATGGGGACTTAATGAGTCAACTTCTCTGTAAGTTCCATTGATTCAAATGGGCCTACTCTAGTGAGTTTGCAGTTAAGAGTAGGCCCATTTAAAACAATAGAATGTGTGGAGGAGTTCACTCTCTCCATTGATTCAGTGGGCATACTCTGTTGCAATTTGCTACCCTAGCAACAGAAATTCAGCCTACATATATATAGTAATAATTGAGGTTTATCTCTTTAAAGTGACAGTATTTTGATTATATGTTATTCAGCATAAGAAACATTTATGAGTTTAGATGTCTAATGGTTTCAAATTGAATTCATGTTAGGGACTTGTTCTGATTCTCAATAATACATCTAGGCATTAAAACTATTAATAATTGCATCTTTCATAATAATGTATTTTTTATTATCTACCAGAGGAAACCATATATGTATTCCTCTCCTCCTAAGCCATCATGGACTATCAAATCCCTGCATTTTTGCCTATACATATTTAGTGGTGCTCTATATTTCTGTTATGATTAGCTCTCAGGTGCCAAGGCATTTTATTAGATTTCTTTGCGAAAAAGAGTTGATCTGGAAAACAGGATTAGAAGCACATGGAATGAAAAAGCAAATGCAAAGAAGAAT